AATTTCTGGAAAGTTGCATGTAGATCATTTTTCGAAAAATAAGGCCATAAAGAAGTTTCACTTCTTACGTGTGTACACTAGTACACGCACACATTTTTTTTACTTTCATGTCTACACAGTCACCATGCAACGAATGCAGGTGAACGTAGAGCCCTACTCAAACTATTCTAGGAAATTCAATTTTCAAACTCCTTACTAATAATTATTATACATGCGAAAGTGTGTCTCCGTGTCTGTTACTTCTTCATGCTCAAGTCGCTGAACCGACTAAAGGAAATTTCGTACAGTAATAGTTTGCAACCCCGGAAGGGACATAGGATAGTATTTATCCTAAAAATCACCCTTTAGCAGGATGAAAAAGGGGGGGGGGGGGTTATTTTGTATGGGGGTAAGATTCTAGACCATAAAGGATGCAGGCAGAACTTCTAACGGAATCGAACGAAAAAATATTGTTTACCCATTTATTTTCATAGCAAGCTATTTCTATACGTATCCAGCTTGGGCTTGTTCCAGGCAGGGGTCTTTGCCCCTGAGAAGCGATGACAGTGACCCATAGAATTTCGATTTGTTGTCCTGACGTTCTATTCTGAGATGGTTATTTGTCCTACAAGACCACGAGGAAACCTTATTATTCCTCATGGTTCTACTGCGGGGATAAGTTTTTAAATTATTAATGCCTAGTCCCTCATAGTCCAACTGCGGTAATAATCACATCAGATTTTCCTACATTATTTTTGAAAGTATAAACTTTTATGTCTAAGTATTTATTTCTACGAATATGTCACATGTTTTCTTCAGGAAATTTCTACTAGAAAAGGTTCAACTCGGTCAAGTTTTCAGGCAGGATATGAACCTGCGTCTTCCTCTGTCTGGGCGGGTGCACTTAGCGCTATGCTACCATTACAGTGAAGGCGTAAGTTTGAGTCCTGCCTTGCCGCGTTGAATCTTTTCTAGTAACACACCTATTATACTTCGAACATGACATAATGGAAATTGAAAATTTATCATTTTATTGCTTGTCCCACTAGTAGGACTACGAGGTAATTGGGCATCCTCGTGGGTAATGGGAATTTAAAACCGGACAAGCATCCATGAATCGGGAACAATTTCTCATTGACACACATGTGTTCATCACACAAAGAAATGCTCATATCGGGATTAGAACCCTTTTTTTGAAGTGAAAACTTCTTTAGCACCGTTGTGATTTGAAACTCGATGAAACGAAAAAGCGACAGTATTTGACACAAGGTATCCGTAATTTCGTAACTCTGCAAGAGACAGATAGCCGAACGGTAACGGTCTTGGGGTTAGTGTTACCATATCTCGGGATTTGTCCTGAGATTCCAGGATTTTCGGACTCTTCTCAGGATTGCGGCTGGATTTTGCGAATCTCATGAAATCTCAGGATTTTTAGAATTTTCAATAAAATACAGCTAACGTTTTAGAGATCTCTTTAATAAAAAGTTAAACAAACTAAAAATAATCTTGTATTGGTAATAATTGCACAATTAAAATCAGTACTTTATTATCCAAGTCGGTACTTAACCAGTTTTATCATACTTAATATCTGAAGATACATTTTTAAGTAAGGTTTTTTCTTTAATTATGGATTCATATAATGCCCCACATGTTATGCTCTTCAAATTATATTGATTTAAAAGTATAAGCAGAGTATAAACGATAATATTACGACTTTTTTTAAATTGTTAAGTACATTTGACAGAAAATTCTCAAACTGTAAAAAATCTTAGGATTTTTCAATGGAAATCAAACCTTTTCTCCGGACTTTTGATTTTATCATCTGGTAACCCTACTGGGGGTCGACACCAAATAATCGCTGGTACGATATTTTTCAATTATTATTTTTTTCGCGCGCGAGTGACGTGTGGATCGTTTTGTATCGCCGTATTAAGTGGCCGGTGCGTGCCGCAAGATGCGAGCAACGACGATTTGTAGCGTGTGGCGGCCACCGGCGTACCGTGTGTGGCGAGTCCATAATTATAAAATGTATGAAAACTACAAGAAATATGCCGGTGGCGGCGGGGCGTTTTGTGGTTGTGGTCGGTGGCCCGTGTGCGGCGACTCTAAGACGTAGGTACGTCTTACGTACTTGATAGTCATGAAGGAGTTTAACGTGTTCACATGGGTTGTAGGTATGTAGGTTTCACTTCACTATCGCATGTAAACAGCACATGTCCGTTTTTCTATACCAGAAAAAGGCGTTACCCTAAAGCACCGAGAGAAGCTGGAACAGGTAATCTGAAGACTCCTTACTGCTCAGTAAAAACCAGATAATACTCCTGCACCTGTCACCAGAAACTCACTATGAAGACCGAGGTTTCCTAATGCGTGTCGGGAGTGTGGGTAGTGACGTGGCGCTCTACGAGAGACTGGCCAAGCAGTGGGATTCGAACCTAGGGCGTTAGGCGCAGAAGGTGTTGTACCAGCTCTTGTTTATTACAAAAACATCTTTGATCCAAAGTGCGCTATCGATTTTCAGTTGTGTTTACGTAATGTTGTAACGTAACATTGGCCTCCAGCCAAGCACCAAAACTTTTTTTTCTTTCCACAATGAATTATATAATATTTTTTTCTTTTTTAAAGATATTTTTGGGTAGAGTTTGACCTGTACTGCAATGCCCGTTCGTCCGCGCCGCCGGCCTTGCGCTACTTATGATCTTTGGCACTGTAAATAGGTTAAACAGTATCCCCCTTATTCATAAACGAAGACTACACATGGATTAGTTATCGAGTTAGCTTCGAGTGGTCTAGAGGCTCCAGACGGAGAGAAGACTCCCCTGGGGGAAGATGCCATCCGCCTGAAATACCTCTAGAGGCACTCGCCAATTCTCGGCTTGAGGTCCCCTTAGGATCTAGCCGTCCCCAAACCAGTTGACGCTGTAAAGGTCATCTGCGACCAACAGCATACACAATAAAAAAAAACATGTGTTACGAGCGCATTCCTTTTTCGTACCACCAAGATATGAAAAGCGTTCCTGTAAAATAAAATCACACTTCCCAATTCGATAGTTGCCATTTTAGACATAATTTTGATATGCATTACGCCATTACACAGCTAGACGTCGCAATGCTGCTAAAGCAGCTAGTAATAAATTTAACATTTGTCAACAATTCGAACGAATGAAATCGTAATGATATTAGTTTTTGTAGTTATTAAACAACTGTTTATATTACTATAATGTTAGTGACCATGAAAGTTTAAAACAAGAGATTAGTTATGTATCTTACAGAACCGTTATGCTATGCTGGAACGAACTTCCCTTACTAAGAACTGACAGTCTTAAATCTTTTCCTTTTAAGTGTCCATTGACGGCAAAGACCAACTTACCATCAGGCCAACTCGTTTGCCTTCATTAACATAAAAAAACCTTTTTACACATAAACCCACGTAGTAGTTAATAAATAAATAGGGTTGAGCAATTTGTAACAAAAAAACCCCGAGTTTCTGCATTAAAACCATTTGGTGTGATCGAAGTTCTGCGTAGAATGGTTGGACGCGCGCCAACCATTCATTCGACGACGACCGTCCGATATGGGACAGTATTTTACAACCTGCCCTTTCTTTTATATAACTCAAAATACTCGTTTATTTTCGGCGCGTACTTGACAGTGTCCTTAAAGTTTTTCGCTGATAAAGTGTGTCACGCATATATCAATATTGATGATGGATTCGGAAGTATTGATTGATGATTTTCGAATTGCTTTCAATGCGAAATTCAGTAGGCTGGTATTTATCTATACTTACTAATATTATAAATGCGGAAGGTGTCTGTCTGTTACTTCTTGAAGCTTTAACCACTGAACCACGTAATATTACCGTGACTGAACCGATTTAAATGAAATTTGGTACCTATAAAGCTTGTGAGTCCGTGAAACATTGCCCGGGTAGGCGGGCTGAAATGTTTTTCTTAAACATTCAACATAACAAAAATGTTTTTCTTAACTTTAACGATCGCAGCCGAACGCGCTAAGCACTTGCGCCATCGAGCTCCTTACCAGCGTCACCAGATTTATTTTTTGCCGTCGGTATTTAGGAACTTGAGTGAAAAAAGCGGCATTCTTTCGTCGAAAGCGTAATAGTAAAAAAACGTATACAGGGCGTCCCACGGCAACCTCACACGGAGGGAAAGTATATTAAATATTGAAAATAGGATATTTTACTGAAAGAAGACATCATTTTATTTTAATAATAACTAGAACTGCAACTGCCAGCGATATCTCCAGATCCAACCCCACTGGACTTTTTTGTGGGGTTATGTAAAAGATGTAGTATACAAGAACCGGTACGACAGTGTGCAGGAGTCACAAAATGAACTCAGACGTATTATTACAAACATTAAAATCGATCGAAATCGATAGGCAGACAAATTATTAAAAGAGTGAGAATTTGCATACAACAAAATGGATCACATTTTGAACATTTGATAATTTTAAATAAAATGTCAAATTTAATGACTTTTCTTTCATTTAAAATGCTATGTTATGCAGCAAAAAATAATCCTTATGATTAACCCTTTCGATGGTTATCATAAAATATGTCGTTTTTTTTTTGAAATTTCATGAGTTTGATTCCCAGTTGTAGCAGGCGATTTTAAAAAAAACTTTGAATGCAGTTCTAGTCAGTATTAAAAATAAAATGATGTCTTCTTTCAGTAAAATATCCTATCTTCAATATTTAATATACTTCCCCTCCGTGTGAGGTCGCCGTGGGACGCCCTGTATAATCAAAAGTTATTGAATATTTATCTTTATTACGCGCCGGGGCGGCGGCCAGTCCACAGTTGTCTGTGCCACTCGCCCGCACTTTTTCAGTACGCTGCAAGTTATTCCCGAAAAGCGGGATTGAGTCCGACGACTGGCAACTCTGCTCCTTACATAAGTATGATGCACTATAAAGATTATTTATCTTTAAATTAAACATGCCTAAATTTTATTTTAGACAGGTTCACTCTAATGAGGGAAAAATAAAACTAAAACCAATTTAACCGACATAAATTTATTGAAATAAAATATTTTATCTACAAATTTAATACATTTTTTTACAGACACATATTCATACTTTATTTATATCGTTCTCAGGTTATGGAATGACAAAGATTTATTTTATTCGCAGTAAAATAATACTTTTTTTAAAGACACGTACACCGAATATAATACTTCCATTTATATAAATTCAAACATTTAAAAACATATTATTGATCAGTAACATACTAACTTTTATATTTTAATAGTTAAACGTTATTTAAAAAGTTTCTGTTATATAATGTACGATTTATATTACAAAGCAGCAGACATTTTGTATTTTTCTGAAGAAGTTCTCTGAAGTTCTTTGTGTCAGTTCGTTATTTTTTTTGTTACTAGTATCGATTACTTAAAAGATATTGATTGGAAACTTTAAAAGCAATAGTGGAACTCGCAATAAATAACTTAAAACGATGATGGTGACAGCCCTGAGGTCATTCACACGGATTTGTTCATAGGGTTGCCCTGAAACAAAAAATGGTAATTTAATATTTATTAATGTAATAATAGTTCTCCAAACCTATAACTCACTATCATTACAGGGTTACATTAATGCGACATTGCAAACATTGCACATTTTCAGTAGTAGGTAGACCCTACTGCTTAAGTGCTTTCGACAAATAAAGTACCCATACTATAGGCATAATCTTAAATTCATTCTAGCGCAATGCCAAATGCCCTCTGAAAACAACCATTTTAAAACGTAAACTCGTACAACAAAGTATTCAGGCATCTATTGAGAAGTCGACAGCCATTTGGCAATGAATGCACAAAATTCCTGCATCAGTCCAATAAAGTTCAAAAGTAGCGCCAAAAATCTTTTGGCTGCTTCGGTTCACTGCCGCATGCATTATTTTGCATTGCAAGTTTATTGAGGTTATTTTTAGACCAATCTTGCTAATAAGGGGCTGTCCATTAATCTCGTGAGGCTCGAAAGGGGGAATATCACTATTATATTAGTATTTCCGTGGTCCGAGGATACTGTACATTTAATAATGTTCATGAAATCAGAAAATCAAAATCGTTTATTCAGTCTAGTGCTTGTAACAGGCACTTGTGAATGTAGAAAACCGGCAAGAAACTCAGCAAGGGCTGTTTTTTTCTCCCTGTATTATAAATGACAAGTCGTAACATGTTTTTTCTTTTATCACACATCATGCAACATGACCGAGTAAACATGACACGCAACACTTAATGTCTCCTCAGTACAGTTCTGCAGTTTGATCTTACAACATATCAACAGTAATTGTAATCGTGTTTACGCTGCTCGTTATTTAGTGTGAGTAAAGCTCTTACTTAACACGTGATATGGGATTACGTGTATTTTTAGTACCTCCAAAGAATCTTATTTTTTTTATATTTATAAAATACAGGTAGAAGTATCATCTAACTTTATTATGGAAAGTTAGAGACTACAATAATAACGTTTAGAGGTAGACATAAAGGTTGCAGGTTGTTTTTGCCTTATATAACACAACAACACAACATGAACATTATAACGCCAAAACATCCGTCTCATACACCCATACTGGTTGACTGGTAGAGAATGCCTATGGCATTAAGTCCGCCATTTACTGTTTTTGGTAATAAAGAATAAATAAATAAATAATTTTATGACCACGGACATACCCGTGATATGACTACACCGATGCGTTGCGTAGAGTTGCATAACGTATGAGAACTCTAACGTTTGAGATATTTAGCAGTCCCTAAAAACATGATACGAAGTAAATAGAAATCTTGTACACTTCGATATGATATTTGAACAATGTTGAATGTACACAAACCTAAAATATTATCTGAAAGTAAATAAATATAAAGTCCACAAAGGATCGACTAATTAAGTACAGCTTCATTATGCCATCACGAAGTGTAGATTTCCATTTACCTCGTATCATGTCAAGTTCAAAGTTCAGCCCTGATTGCAGTAGTGCAATTAGTTGAGCGGCTTCATCAGCAGTGGTATCCATCTTCGTATTTTTTTTTGTGAAAGATTTTCTTGTGTGTAGAGGACACACGGTTTTAGATAGCGAAAAACCCCCATAGAACCTGTATTAACCGTTTTATACCCATTATAGGCAGCGCTACTAGGGGCCCTTTTGAGGTGCAAAATTGGCATTTTGTTTTTAAAATCACATTTGTAGTATCAAGCTTTTTTTCATTGGAATGAAATGGGTGTTTTTTAAGTTTATTTAATGGGCTCTTAAATGATACCAATATTGGTAGGGTTCATGCGCGTGTTAAGGGTTAATAATGCTTAAAAGAGCGTAGCGTACGACGCCCTGAGTAGGGTTACCATCCGTTCGGACTTGTCCGGACATGTCTGGAATTTCTCCGTTTTTTTAAAAGATGGAATATGGGTAAAACTTCTTATGAAGTAATATTAAATAAGTCAAATAATCTTTATTAAGTTCTCATTAATTTAAAACAAAATATAAATCATCTTTAAAAATCAACAACGAGACCCCCCTCGCGATGCGAGCGTCTGCTACCACGCGTATAATATCACTGTAACTAAGTGGGTGATTTTCGCTTTTAGTGATTAAAATGTCCGGACGTTTATCGAAATGTCCGGCTTTTTGTCAGGACTTTTCAAATTTTTAAATAGTAACCCTAGCCCTGAGACAAGATGGGATGATGACATTCGTACGCGGGCTGGAGTGGGCTGGATGAGAGTGGAGAAAATCGGGAGCAGTGGCGTGCATTATGGGAGACCTATGGCCAGCAGTGGACCAGCATGGGTTGATGATGATTATGAATGTTTAAAAGTTATTTTCGCGGAGGTGAGATTAGTAAGCAAGCTCATAAACACACAATCAACGCTTTACTATCAACATAATAAACAAACAATTTAGTTTTCGTGTAACAACTCTAAAATAAACAAAGAGTTTGTTATGCGAAACATGATATTTCCTGTACTATAAGTGTACTATGGAATTTGCGATAAGAACTAAGTTGGGTTACTAAGTCGAAACAATAATGAATACCCAGAAATGACTGTGCATGCATTGAATTAATTGTTTTCGTTTAACTAAGTACCTAGTTAATAATCAATTAACTGAAATTCACCACCTAGGTTTCGTCAACATGTTGGTAATGCGAGCCTTGTGTTATGATGAAACTGCACGTATCTTATGGAAGGAGAATACTCTAAAGGGCGCAAAATTACACCTTGTGGAGTACTTCCTCTGAGCCCTTCATGTAGTTCCCACAAAATCAAATCTATTTGATTTTGTAATTTTGAGGGAAAAAATGAATGTCAAATGCTTATTGAGTTAAGGGGTTACACGCTTAGGCAGTTAAAAACGAAAAAAAAAACATGTTTTTCAGTGCCATTGCAGTTTCGGAATGTATATTTATTTGAATATTTTCTCTAAAAATTTCAATTTAATCTGGCAAATATTCTTGGATATACACATAAGTACAAGATGACTCCATTAAAGTATATGTTGTCTTTTGAAACTTTGAATGCGTTTTTCTCAATACAGTATTTACAATGTCCGTGAGCACAATTTCTCAAAAATGGCTCAACAGAGCGGTCTAAATTTTAACACAACCTTCTCAGATATATTCATCTGGGATTGATCGAAGGAATAAGATATGTGATAATTATTTCTATTTTTAAAAACAATTTAACAAAAACAATTTGGTCGAAAATCTGTTTTTTTTTGTTCAGAGCTCTTGGTGCTCCATACAATCTTTAAACCCCCGACAAAACCCCTTTAGGAGGTGAGTTTTGGAAAATCATTTTAAAGCGCACGCATACATAATAATAATAGCAATGATATATTATAAACTTCTTGTTTATATAATATCATTGAATAATAGCTTTAAATGTGTGCCACATTTAAGCGCAATCCGTTCAAGGATTTGAGCTGTGCGTTGTAGTCAGTCAGTAGTTGCCTTTTATATAAACATACCTACAGGAAGATTAGAACCTAGGCTTTGTTATTGTTGCTAAAGTAACAAGAGTGAACTAATCGTTGGGCAAATCACTAGTGTTGTCTTTTGCATCGATATTGTTTTGAGAGTGAAAGATATTCCGTGCGTCACCACAAACGACCGGCACGCACTCACGTGACAGGCGTAGTGTAATAATAGCGCATTGTTGTCACACTATCGCAACGTTTGAAGTACGAGTACAAACTTACCTACAGTGCGACCAAGATCTTTATGAATGTGGCGAAAATTGGAACTAACGTTCGTAAACGTCATATTTTGTATGCCAGTAACGGTCATTTACGTAGATAGTGGCGCCCTCTCTGAACTGTCTGTCACATTTGTTTTTTCATTCAGATATACGTCCTGCTTTTGTGTGAAAATTATAAATAAAAAGTTGTAATAATAAGTGAGAGTTCTTTCTTTTAAACAGCGAAAGTTACAGACAGCATTTCCCTAATAGTCATTCATGTATTTAATAGGGAGAGCTATCTCTAGGATCCTGATGTACTTACTTAAATTACACATAGCAGCACATAAAAAACCTTTTAAAGCATCAGCTTAACTTAACGAGTTTTTTTTAAATAACTTAAAAATAATGCTTTACTTTGCACATTGGGGAGTTAAAATGTAGGTATGTATGTTGGTTTGCTTTTAATTTTTGCTCCTCACCTCACCCAGAGGCCCAGAGATGTGATCCCGATCCTGATATATTTTACCTCAAATGAGGTCCTTATATATATTTTTTAATACAACCTATTAATTTCATTCCCGTTTCGTCTGCTGTATTTTGTAACTTCTTTAGAATTCTTCAAGTTGCATAGAAATCAGATTCTAGCTGTACAATAGCCATTTGTCTGTGGCATTGTTACAGCCAGTGTTATTACCAGGCTTGTAGTACAAACAATTGCTTTATTAAGGTGCTGTCCGACGGCCTGTGTTGTCGAGGGCGCGGCCGCTCCGCGCAGGGTTGCCAACCGTATGAGAACTCTAACGTTTGAGATTTAGCAGTCTCTATGCATGATACGAGGTAAATGGAAATCTCGTACACTTTGATATGAGATTTGAACAATGTTGACTGTTAGTGCCATGTATAGAAACTAAAAATGAGGAAATGGCGAACAAAACGGTATAATTACATCAAATTTAAAGTTTACAGGAGCAGTAAAAAACTGTATGACATACCTACAGTGATCTTTTGGCGTGATTTTTAATTTAGAAATTTTAACACTATTTTAGGCGGTGTTGATTGACATGAGGTGAAATAGGGTACTTGACAAGTTTTAGAAAACCATCTCACGTTATTGACTAATGTTAATGGAGTCCGCAAAAAGTGGATATTCATCATTCTGTTGTGTATTTCAGTAAAAATAACCAAATCAAGAACTCCATTTTCAATATGTTGCGAAAACGTCTGTTATTAAAACGTCACACGACTGTTATTAAAACGTCAAACGATACAATGTAATGTCACTTTGACCCCGCAAGTTTACTTGCGTGTGACGTCATTTTAGGCTCCGCCAATC